TAGCAGCCATTTTCAGATTCTTTGTGAATAGGTCTTACTGAGTTAGGAGTCCTCTCGAGGACTTTTAAGCTCTCCTAAACTTAGGTGCTACTTTTAGGCCTAAAATACTTTGTGAATTGCTCTTAGTGAATACAATTAGGAGTCCTAAATTTAAGACTGACACGCCCATTATGTTTAGGAGTTTCTCCTAAATTCGCCAGTTAGGAGCTACTTTTAGCCCTAAGATCCTTTGTGAATACGGCCCCTGATTAGTTTTATCATAATTCATTTACAGATTCTGTTTGTCCAGGCTGGTTTTCTTGCCGTTATGACATTAAACTAATGCTAAGGTAACACAGAGTAGGATTTATAGGTTGGTGTTTTTTTTTAAAACAACATTCGAAGTAAGCTCCTCCACCCTGACTCGACAAGGGTGAAATAGCTTGTCAGCAGTTGAAAGCCAACACCAAATGTGTTATTGTTTTTAAACAAGCTTTGTCCAGTTGGCATTACGTCTTGCTTAATTTGCTTTGCTGTGTCTGACATTTCCGTATGCCACTAACCAGAATAGGCTCAATGAATCAACCCAGCAGAAATCACTCAGCCAACCACCTGGCAGTGGCCATTGGTAGAGAGAATGACTCAACAGAGTAGAGTCTTACCTGAGCATATTACCCCTGCATCATTCTCATGGGTGCAGTATGCGTCACTGTGGAGGACCACAGCACAGCGTGTCAGACTGGCCTCATGTCCCGAGCATTGGACATGCCGCAGCCAGATTTCTCCGCTGCCTGCACCAAAATGTGCTTCATGAAGGGCAGATTCAGCTAAGCCACATCCAAGCTCCAGGCACACCACATGAGCTTCTCGGCGGTCCCATCCGTGGTCGCAAACAGTCCCCCACTGTTCATGGCGGAGTACCTCCACTCTGCCAGAACACTTGTTCTCCCCGTCCACTAGTCTGACCCCACCTGTGGATCAGAGGAAGATAGTTTAGAGACAGAAAGTGGAGGCACAGGAAGAAGCAAGTCTATGTCACTTCCAGGCTTACCAAAAGCAGTAACTCCATCCCAAAGAACACCTAACAGTCCTGTCATGAAAGCACAAACATGCAGTGGTTATTGGGCCAATTCAGTTTTAAAATTTCAACAATAGCAGCTAACTTCACTCAGTTGCTTTTCTATTAGGACTTAACACTAGTCAAATGTTTTTAGGAGCATTTTAGTTAAGATTCTAACGTTAAGTCACTCATAACATATTGATAACATCTAAAAAAGTCATACATGCGAAAAAACGCTTGTTCACTTTGCAATTAGTAACCAATGCCACTGTGCTCACTTAAATTAATTGCTAAATAATCCCGTTACATAATCAACCATAATCTACCCAAGTTAGCGGGTCCTGCTTCAGAGTTAGCGTTAGCTGAAAACAAGCTTAGCTGAACATTAGTAGCTACCTGGGCTACATCCAGGGGGCTCACCTGTTAAAAGGATAGGCAGGAGCATCGTTCCTCACCCTTCCATCCCACGGCCGGGTGGGAAGGATGCCAGTTGTCGTGGTGATGATGCTGCCAGCCGTTTGAAGCTAGTGACAACACAAGACATCAGCTAGCTTGTGGCTAACTAAAATAAGAGCTAGCGGCTAAGCAACTTTACTGACACTAACGGCGTAATCAACCACTGACGCTATTTATTTTACAAACAAGTAGTTCTGGTCTGGAGATAAAGGGTAGTCCGGGTGGTTGTACCATAACACGATGTCCATGAGATAACGTTAGCAGAACTACATACCGTCAGGTCGCCATACTCATTACTCAGGTCAGGGTTTAGCTGCTAGCGGTTCTCCCTGCGGCAGACAGAGGTCAGCACCGCCGCAGCGCTGCAGTTAAAACCGAAACAGCCAGGAGCTGCTGCTGCTGCTACACACAGCGCGGAGGTGGACAATAACTTGGTACTAGTCCTAAATATAATGTAATTTTATATATTTACAACAGAATTATTTCAAATTTCTGCTACTTTACCCTGCTTCAATTAATTGACATATTTCACAATCAGAATTTTGTTTATTGTAATTATTATTTATTTATTTTACATTTGAATTATCAAGAATATTTTATATTATTTATATTTGATATAATTTTTTTCATCTTTATTACATTTTACATTTTTCATTCTCTATTCCACTTTTAAGTATTTGTATTTTATAGTGGACCTATCATGCTATATTTTAAACATATATTGTAGGGCCATACCTATATAAATTATATAGATATAGTTTTTTTTTTTAAATACAAAAAAAAAAAATCAAAACAGATCCTGCATTTTATCCATGCCTCATTTCGCTCTATTTGCTCTTTCCAGC